TAGAGTAGACAAGGACTTTTTCAGTGAATCTCAAATTTACAACTTTAAAGAGTATAACTATCTGTGATGCACTCTGCTTTCCTAGTTATGTTTTAAATAATTCTCAAAGTATCTTAACCACTTTTCCTAAACATTGTATACCTCTAGGTCTATTATATAATAGCTGTGATACCAAAAAGTAACAGGATCAAAAAAGTAACAGGTAACAGGATCAAAAATGTTTATCACAGGGTAAAAACTTTGAACAAATCTTAAAAGCAGTCACTTACCTAAGATAGTCAAAATGTATATTGGACAGGCAGGAAGCATGCAAATTCCATTAGTTTTCCCCTTTATAAAAGCTTCTAAGGTAAAAGGAATAGGACAAGATATTTCAAAGCTGATTTAAAACAGCATGAAACCTTCCACAAAGCCTTACAGAGCTTGTAGAGAACAAAGTTAAACTTGTTAATATAATTTGAAAGATGACCTATTCAAAACTGGGAAGCATTGACCTTTTGCTCTATATTTCTCTATAATAGGAACAGATGACCTTATTTGCTACCAGAAGAAAATGCACTGGCCTAGAGGCTGTAACTACAAGAGTCTTTCATACAGACATTTTCAACATCCAACATCAGCCCTAAACTTCATAAGCTATCATATAGATAAAAAAGACAACTTCCAATTTATTTCTTCAATCACCCAATATCTAACCAAATATTCTAGTGCATTCAGATATATTAATGAGATGAACAATTTTATGGTGATTAAAAAATGATGATTTTATAGACAATAGAGGGAGGTAACATGCTGAAGTAAAAAGAGCATCGTCTTTGATGCAGACAGACATGAGTTCTAAGCCCAACCTTCTGTGGCAGTGAAATGGCCTTGCCCAAGTTATTTCATCTCTTAGGCTCATTTTCTCATCTTTAAATGTCAATTAACAATTACCTCAATGTTGTTTTAAGAACTAAATAAGATATCATATGTAAAATTCTCCTCAGAGTTCTCATTCATAAAAGGAACTCAATAACATGAAAGCTACAAGTATCATTATTTGAAAAGTAGACAAAGGCTGTTATGTAAAATGAAGAACCAGAGAACAGAAATAGTATTTACAACTGTTTAAGACATGTAAATTAAGTGAGAAATGACAACAGTTGAAGATGGATGGAATAGTGGGGGTCATGAGTAATTTTCCCTCCAAATATCAATTAAAACTAGGCCTTTTATTCAAAACTAGTAGTTTTACTATAATCGATGATTTTCACCATGATCATGAGGGCAAAATAAGAATTCTCAGCCAGCCTGATTTTTACAACCTTAGGAGGAGACAGTTAATAGAAAAAAGCAAGGATTTCTGATCTGAGGAGCAACATTATTGAGAAAATTTTATTTGCTCAATATTAAAACACCATGTTTTGGACACTGAGCAAATTGTTTACAAGATATATATATATCTACACATATAAAGATGAGCTTGCTAATGCACATGGTAGTTATAGTTTTAATATATTAAATTTCATGTATATGCTTGATGAAAAAAAATGCATGCAAAAGAGAAGCACAGTGACAAGAAGAAGGTCTCTCCTACTGCCATTCTCGCTGCTTTTACTCTAAAAGGTAACCAACCACTTGGTTGGAAAAGAACCTTACAGACTTTTTTCTATGTCTATAAACCTAAGTATAATTTTTATATATTTAATAATATTTCAACATTTGCTTTATAAAATGCCCGCAGTCATATTTTAGACAGGTGACATCTCTTTCCCCTCCCCAGATTACATAATGAAAAATCTTAAATGTAACAAGTATATGCCAAATAATGAACATCTGCTAGCAGGAAAGAATACAATACAGTTTTCTTGACCAAAGTTCTCTTTACATTTATATTTGGAAGACTGAATTATATAAGTCTTAATGAGATTAATGAGAAGTATTTCTGGGATATGTATATAAATGGTAAAATGCTAAAATAGTATAGTATTATTATAATATATAACTACTGATTAAATCTGAACTTAAGACATGTAAAATTCAAATATTTTTGGAAATGTAACTTTTTCATTGTTTTCTCATATAGAATATAAAAATAAGAGTATTGTTCTTGATATAACTGAACTAGAAAGGCAAACAATGCTCCAAATCAATAGGTTTGCTAATTTTATTAACTTTATTTTATTTTATTTTATTTGCTAATTTTATTACAAGCATAAGAAAATATATATAGTAAATTTTTCTCAATTTCATACATGCAGATTTTTTAAGGAATGCTAAAGGATAAATATCATAATCCCATTCCGCTAAGTCTTGGCACATAGTAGGTACTTAATGTGAATTAAATAAATAAAAGCAACTTAATATATATCCTTATTATATAATATCCTACATTTGTGACACCTATATTACAAGAAAACAGATTAACTTCAAGATTTTTATTTCTTTTTTTTTGAAATTCAAAAATTTTTAACTATAAGGCTTGTCTTTTAAGTAAATGAATTAAGAGGAAGGGTATATAATATCAGTAGTTTGTCAAAAATTTCTCTTCAAAATGTGAATATCGTATAGAGATTTAATCAGGTCTGTAAACAACAAATTCGTGTTGATTGCTTTTTCTAGTACTGGTTGGAAAGAAGCAGATAGGAAAAAATAAAGGAAAAGTAATCAGAAACATTTGATTCTTTCAGAAGTCAGTTAGCAAACTTTCAAAGGTAGCAGTTGACTTGGAGGCATGCGAGAGAAAAGTAGAAAGTTTTGGAGAAAGTGGGCCAATGAAACAGAAAATGGATTTACTTAAAGCCAAAAGACTGGTTCCCAAGAACAAAGTATTCTGAAGTCCAGAATAAATAAAATTGTTAGAAAGGAGAATAAGTGGTAATCAGCAGTTCTCTCTCATGGAAAAGCAACGGAGGATGAAGTAGATTTTGACACTGACAAGGAATGGAAGTTGGAGGAATGGGGAGTTAGAACAGAAAAGGTGGTTAAGTGGAAGACATTGTCCAATAGAGGTCTCTAGGGTCTGTCTGTGCAGAGAGAGAAAGGCACTGGGAGAGAAAGGGCTGCTTTTATTTTTTTAATTGAGTAAACTAATAAATACACATATATACCTAATCTATATACCTAATATATAATCTTTATAGATTTTACTTTATATAAATATAAATAAATGTGTATATAGTATTTGAATGATAAAAAGGATAATAAAATGGTAAAAATGTAATTACAGCAATTACAACTTCAGACCAAATAATACAGAGGCAGTAGTATTATACCCAATCTGTTATAATATTAGTAAGTCAGATGTAAGATTAATAACAGAAGTTTCCACAGTACATAATTAAATGTAGGAATTATTAACATAGAGACATTTATTTGTTACATAAGAACATTCTGACCCCTAGCATTTTGAAAAATATTTAAAATTAAGTGCTATAATATATACATTCACAAATCGATATTTAAAAAATACTTTGAATTGTGGTCATATTCATTTATAAAAACAGCTTGCGCAATTTAGAATAATAGAGTAGTTGTGGATAAAAATAGACTCTCGCAATCTCAGAAGTAAAGGATGTCAATGTTACTATTCTCCTGAAATAAACTAATTATTGCTGATTGAACCCTGAATTTGGAAATGTCTCCTGGTGGTTCAGGCAAAAAGGAAAGTAGATTGGTTAAATACTATTTAATCAAGAGCAAATTCTGTTTTCACATAGGCAGGATAGAAATCACAAATGAATAAAATTCACTTATTTTATAAATTTTCACTACCCATTTGTGTTAGAGATTTATATTATGTAGTAATAAAAAGATTCTTAGTATTTCTTAGTATTTATTGTTTGGCATAAAAGAGCCATACAAATTTATTTGTAAATGCAAACTTTTAAAAAAAAAAGAAGCTGAAGAAGGAAATTATTGCACGTCCTCTTTTAGAAGAAATCACAAGTGACATTAAGAGATAAAATCTATAGTTTATTAAAACTCACTCCTAAAGGGACAATTCTTGATTCTAGTCCACTGTAAGACACTAGTATAACAGCAAATGATAACCTAACCACATAAATGTGTGCTAAATTCCTTATGAAAATAATTGGAGTATACGTGTGTTTGCTTGCTCATATAATACATAATAAATTCTATCTGTATGTTTCCGTTAATCTTCAACCACCTGCCCTCAATCATTGCTTTTATTTCCCCCATCTAAAGTATGATTATTTCCACTTCAAAGAGGTGATCTTATTTATTTACAACCACTATGATAAAATAAGATTAACCTCTGAAATAGTCATAAAAGTATTCTAGAAATTACTATTTTAGATATAAAAGTTACTTTATTGGAAAAATATTCTTTAAGGGTCATATGTTTATGAGCACATTAAATCAATATGAAGAAATAGTACAACAAAATATTAGAATAAATTTAAATCAATGTATTTTCCATTAACGTGAAAATATTACCAAAAATTACCAATGAACATAGTTAACAGGGAATATTATTAACAAAATAAAACATAGAAAATGACTGAATGATAACTTGATTTATATTTAGCCACAAGTTAAATTTAAGTGGGTCCTATGATTAAAATATATAACATTAACAATTTTTCTAACACTACTGTGCTAAAGCCAAGGTATTTCTTCTAAAGAAGATGGTAAAGACTGTCAACTACCAGCTTGCTTACAAGAAAGATGTGATCATAAGCAACCAAATCAGACAATGAAAATGACAAGTTTTCATTTTCTAAATCTTCAACATATTTGCAAGTTTCTTTCCTCCTCTAAAAATTATCACATGATGAATCGCGATAGTCCACATAGAGTTAAAAAATGTGAGCCTGTTTTTAGAGCAAATCGGACAAAAAATAGAGAATAAAGTATCACCAATCTTGTGCTCTTTCCAAACAAACCCTTAACATCATACCTAACTCTCAAACCTCGTCAGCGATTACTAAATACTCAAGTATTACGTTAATCTTAAATGAAAAGACCAGGAGAAGCATGAGAGAAAAGCACATTACCAAACTGCCTCTGTAGTCCTCAGGGAACTTGTAGACCGGGATCTTGGCTTCATAATAATACTCATTTTGGAAAAAAAAAAAAAAAAAAAAAGGAAGAAAAAGAGAGAAAAGTCTTCTGATTAATACATTTCTGCTGTCTTTCCACGAAAAATGGTTTTAAATGTATTCCTATTCCGAGAGAGGGTGCTTGAAGAAATCCAAAGTTCCCAGAGTCAACTCCTGCCCCTCATCCAGAACACAGGGGTGCTTCTAAGACGCAGGAGTTCTTTCCTCTTTCATACTGAATTTACTCCAGCACTAGGCAGTTCGGAAGTGACAGTTGTTTTTTTTTTTTTTTTTCTGTTTGCATTGCCAAGGGAGGAACTGAATTTTAAATCTATTCTTCATCTGGTCACAAGGGAAACCAACACAGTGAAAGAGTCACTTGATCTTGCCTTTTTTGCAAATCCATAATAACAGGTTGAAAGGTTTCCAACACTCTAAAAGTACTCAGGTAGAGTGAAAGGAAAAGAAAATGACCGCGAAGTACCGTAACACCGGAGAGCTGTCAGGGAAGTTCCATTTCAGGGAGACCACAGGAAAACACTCTTCTCTGGGGAGCCAAGAAGTCAGCGAGCGAACAAAGCTCTCCACACTTCACTGGGTCCACTGTTTTACCTGTGAATGTAATTTCCGTTGCGTCCCCTGCTTTAAATCTGACTCCAAGCCTTTGTGAATGAGAACTATCATTCAATCTCGCCAGGCAGAAACTATTCCTCAAGGGCTGTATGACGTCTGTAGGAAGGCAGTTCAAAACACCACAGGGAAGTGAGAGACAGGAAAAAAAAAAAAAACCAGCGTGCCTGGCCTGGCCTCTTCAATTGCTGAAACTTATAAAGCTAAGGGGCAGACCAGATCAAAGACCAGGACTGTAAAACCAAGCACAGACTGGAGACCTCTCAAAAGTTATAAAACCATTTCCTCCTCTGGGAAATGAGGTGTCTGCGTTATTCAAGGTAAGATTCCCTGAGCCCTTTATAAGGAACACACCCCTTTGCCATTGCGTTGTTTACTACCTTCCAAAAAAAAAAAAAAAAAAAAAAAAAAAGTAATTTTCTCAAAGTCCTGCACTGAAAACTAAAATTTCTTGTCAGAAACAAAGTTAAGAGAACTTAAGGATTTAGCAGCTGTTCACTTGGAGCATACTTAATGAAATGTCACGCTTTGGGGCTCGTTGTAGAGATGCAAACTGCCACAAAAGT